AATAAATTTCACTAAAAAAATTCATATGAAAAAAATAAAGTTGTAATAGCTAAAAAATTAAAATTCCTATAAATAAATCAACTAAAAATTGATCTTATATGAACAAAAAAATTTCACAACAACATTTATATACTTATTAAGAACAAAAACAATTAAAACTAAAATAAAAAACAAATATAGTGAAAAAAATCATGAAAAAAAATATTACATTAATGTAGTTGAAAGTGAAGTTAAGGAAAGAGAAAAAATTTCATAAAGTATATTAATTAAAAAAAATTAAGAAGATAAAAAAAGAAAGAAGAAGAAGAAAAAAGAAAAAAAATGATATTTTTTATATATAGTAAAAACACCAAGGAAAACATATGAATTCACACGTATCATATTGAAAGGCTGATATGTAAATTTTCATACTAAAGTTTTTACTTCAAAATTTAGTTCAAAATGATGATTCCGCACTTTTGAATTTCTTTCACAATTTACTTATTTTAGACCCATTTGGAAATGGTAGCTTATGTTTTTAAATATATTTTTATTTGTCTTCAAATATATTAAATTGATATTTTTTAATGTTTTTTGATAATTTTGAAATACTAAAATCAAAAATTAAAAAATATTATTAAACCCAAACCTTTAATTGGTAGACTGTTATTTTTACAAATTGGAGGCCACTAGTCGGCGTTTCAACATCGATGATATTGATTTGGGAGACGGTATGAGATATGAAGATGCGATGGAAGAGCAACATAAGCACCAAAGACAACAAAAGGAATCACTTTCTGCCATGACATTTGCGGATGAATTATTTTTTGATGGTAAGGTGAAGCCAAGACTGAAGCCTCCACCGTGTAACCAATACGCTACCGATGGCAAGTTTGATGATCATAGCTTAACTCCGACATTTAAAATTTCAGTTCCACGGAATGATATGGAACGATGATATTGATCCATTCATGGTAGCTTTAAAGACCGTCAAGGGGGGAGGGAAGGAAAAATGGCAGAAAATCAACCATACACGGGCTCGGTCTATGTCCGCTATACGAGCCAGAAGTGAGTTGATGGACTGCTTGCATAATCAGTGCAAGCAATTAGATCCTATCAGGCCGAATCTGAATTATCATCTGGAGCTCAACGGGTTGCCTAGTCGCATATGGATCCCAAATGTAACAAATGCTAGTCCAAAAGGGTCAAAAAGGCTAGCTGAGTCGAAAGGAGTTCTGTTTGCAAGAAAAGCTAGATTGATGAAAATAGACCCAGAGTGGCCAGGAAAGCCTGATAAGACAATTCTTCTAGAGCCCATGGTAAAGGCTGGAGAGGATGCCAAAGAAAAGGGAGAACCTAGTGAGAGCAAAAGCAAGAGACAGAAGATGAAAAACTTTAGTAAAAGAAATTATAGTAAAATTAAAAATTAGAGACAACCATAACACACATCTTAACAGCAAGAACATTGGTTTACCAATAAAAATAATCGCATAAACTAGGAGATTTATATGGTAAGTCCTCTGGCTATTCATTTGAAATAAAAGAGGGGCAGAAGAGACGACGACGTTTTAATGAAGGGTCAAGACAGGAAACGCTGTCGTCATTACACAACAGTTCCTCCTACTTTGAAACAGGAGAATTCCAAATCCTTGTAGAAAACGGAGAGAGACACAGAGAGGAAGAGGCAAAGACAAACAAGGCAAGGGCAGCGTAGAGCGCACCTTTCGCTTTCCAGTGTTTGCTGAGAAAAAAGGCAATCCACCAAAAAAAACAGAGAGATAATAATATATTAGATTGAATTTCGAGATAATTCATTAAAGTTTACCTGTAAAATCAGCAAATTATATTATAAAAACGTGATAATTCAATTATCAATAATTAAAAATAATTTAATAAAAACTATTGATTGAAAAAAAAGAAGCTCTATTTTATAATAACAGAGTGCTTTATCAGCACATGTGTATCTATCCTACCGAATCCCAGGAATCTGAAATTAAAAAAAAAAAAAAGGACTGCCTTCAAGTGCAAGTACACAAATGTACTGAAAAAGCCCTCCTCTTAGTTAATTAATTAGAAAATAAAGAGAGGTAGAGAGAGGAGGGAGATCTCTGCATCCTGTATTCTCCTCCAATCCTCCTAAGACATTTAGCCTACCATGGAGATTGAGCTTGTGAATAAAAAACTGACCACCACAGGCATATAGTCTTGTCTGTCTTATCCAACTGGTAATCTCTAGGCTTTTCAAATGGTGCAGGGAGAAAACGCTATCCGTTTTACTGGAAGAGATCCGACTGGAAGGGCGTGGGAATTTATGCTTTGTACAAGAAATCATGGTCGTTACATGAGACCCGTCATCAGAGGAGAGTACTGGTTGGACTACGTCCGTGAGAAGGGCCTTACAGTCAATGATTTTATCATCTTAACAATGGTAGCAGATGCAGAAAATGGAGTCAGCTATAACATTAGAGTTGAGTCGAATACGAAACTGGCTATATAGCCCTTTCAGATCATCTACATGTAAGTTTCAGCTATTGAATTTCGGATAAAAATCTGTAATATTTACTCTTGTTGTTACAGTACCTAATCCTTGCTTCTTCTTTTTGGCTCTTTTTTAAAATTAAAAAATCCTGGGTCCTGACATGACTTTATTCAATATGATAGCTTAGGTTTTTAAGCATGGCGTCAAGTTATCTTTCTCGTTAATCAGCCCTTGGATTCTTCTTGGCATGAAAGCGGTGTACTGCGTTCTTACTATTATTCCACATATACGGGCTCCTTATACTTGTCCTTTTGAGGTCTTGTGCTCTTATACTACATGTCATTGACATGGAATATTGAGAGTTCATCCAGCTTCCTTTGTTCATGTGTCTCTGGGCTTTCTGACGACTGGTTTACATGCTCCCTGTTTACTATTTTACAATCTTCCATGGTTATTTGATGTTTTTGTTCAGGAAAATTGCTTGTTGATGTTGTGTTTCGTTAATAAGATTGCTGTTTTATTTTTGTATGTTCATTCACTCTTTGTTTTTTTTTTCCTGCTACTTGCACTGTGGCTTGAAGGTATTGGCAGTATATATTTAGGGCTCTAAAAAATAAAATTTCGCATTCTAACACACTCATTCCATTTTATTTTATTTCTATAAATATTCCCAATTTATTATTTTCTTGCAGGTATTACTTTTTATCTTTACAGATTTACACTCACTTTTATGACTTTATAATAAATGGTTCGTTTACAACTTTTACTGTAAATATTTTTTGTAACTTTCTTCTTATTTGATTTATATATTGTTATATAATTTCTTGATACTCAAAATTTATTTGAGATCTAGCTTCAGGTACCACCAAGCATATAAATCAACTTGCAAAGAGGTTATTACAGCTTAACTAGGATTCTTGTTTTGAGGCTTGAGAATACTGCAGTTAGGTTAAATATTTGACAGAGAAAACTTTGTTATTACTGTGGTCTTACCCGGCTCGAATCTTGATTAATTAAAATTCCGTGTGGTTATCGGATATCGAATAATTAAAAAAAATAAAAAATCTAGTTTCAGGTGGCAAGGGCTTCTAATTGGCAGTCCGTTGTGCAGCTTCTATGATTATTTTTTTCAGATTTAAGCAGGATTTTTTTTTAATCGAAACTAAAGCTTAATTAATAATTTTATGGTCATGTGTGACCCCATCCTCATTTGTTCATTTTATGGGTTTGCTACTTATGCTTTCCCTTTTGAGGTATTGTGCTGTCAAGTGTGATTTGTCAACGAGGAGGCCATATGTATCATACAATACCAGAAACTTTGCTTGTTGATGCTGTGTTTTGTTGATAAGTTTGCTGCTTTAGTTTTGTATCTTGATTCCGTTATCTTGGTGGATCATATTTAGCATTATTGGTTTTTTATTTTGAGGTTTGCTGCGATTGTTTTGTCACCTTTGACTAAAATTAAAACAAAAAAAAAAAAGCGTGTGAGAACAAGAAGAAACAATGAGCAGAAGAAGAGTGAAAAAACGCGAGGAGAGAAATGGAGATGGACTGCCAAGGGTAGCAACCCAAGATGTTTAATGCGCCTCAATTTTTTTTTTCCCTGGAGAGATTGATCATACTGCTCAGAAAACAAAACACACTCACACACGCTTGCAATGTTAGTCATATTGGGAGCTTATAGAGGTTAGATTATCATGTTTGCCTCCTCCTTGCATGGTGAATAGATTTCCCACGTTATCTAATGGGGCGGTAGATAAACGTACAAAGAACTTATATGAAGGATGTTATGATGTCAATTCTTTTCTTTCTTTTTTTATTGTTATTATATTCAAAAGAATAGATTTTAGTCATCAACACCTAATTTTTCGGATTAGGAGTTTTGGACCACAAGCTGGCGGCCACGGATGTGCTTAATTCAACCCAAAAGTAATGATAAAAACAAAAGCACTTTTGGGCAGTTCATATAAGGTTCGAACTTTTGATTGATAAATTAATCAGTGCTTTTACTTTTCTGTTTTATTTATTATTTTTTTCATTCATATTATATTTATTTATTTATTTTACATAGCTTATCTGACAAATGTTGTGCTTTTCTGCAGTACTGCCTTCGGCAAATCCCAAGCGTATTATACTTGCAGTACCTTTTCAAAATACTGTCCACGAACATGCTTTACATATATTGTTAAATCAAGTAACAAACCCCAAACCATTTGAGTGCCATTCATGCACCAACCTACGTATAGGCTAAAAACGATACCGTTCCATTTTCAGGACCAGTTGGCTAGTCTTGTAATGCAACAAATTGACTATCATGCCAGGTCGACATCAAATTAATGCTTTCAAAATTCTCGATTGAAAGGTGGGACCCGGGATAGTCGACAGTAACAAGAGACCGGGAATATTGTCTACCCATACAGGCCTTCTTGGGATTCTTGGGGGAAACGGGCAGCGCCAAATCCCTCTATATAACCAGGCAGAGAGGACGGAGATCTTCGCATCCAATATTCTCCTCCCATCTTCCTGACACATTTAGCCTACCATGGAGATTGAGCTTGTGAATAAAAAACTGACCACCACAGACATAGAGTCTCGTCTGTCCTATCCAACCGGTAATCTCTGGCCTTTTCAAATGGTGCAAGGAGAAAACGCTATCAGTCTTACTGCAAGAGATCCCACTGGAAGAGTGTGGGAATTTAAGCTTTCTACAAGAAATCATGGTCGTTACAATAAACCCGTCATCAGAGGAGGCTGGTTGAAGTACGTTCGTGAGAAGGGCCTTACAGTCAATGATTCTATCATCTTAACAATGGTAGCAGATGAAGAAAATGGAGTCAGCTATAACATTAGAGTTGAGCCGAATTTGGAACTGGCTATTTAGCCCTTTCAGTTCATCTACATGTAAGTTTCAGCTATTGAATTTCGGATAAAAATCTGTCATATTTACTCTTGTTGTTACAGTACCCAATGCTTGCTTTGTTGCTTGGCCGCTTTTCTTCAAAAATAAATAAATAATTCTGGTTCCTGACATGACTTTGTTCAATATGATGACTTAGGTTTATAAGCGTGGGATCAAGTTATCTTCCTCGATAATCAGCTTTTGGGTTCTTCTTGACACGGAAGCAGTGTGCTGCGTTTTTACTATTATTCCATATATATGGGCTCCTTATTATGCTTTGTCCTTTTGAGGTCTCGTGCTCTTATACTAAATGTCATTTACATGCAATATTGGGAGTGCATCCAGCTTCCTTTAATTTGTTCATGTGTCTCAAGGCTCTCTGTCTACTGGTCTGGTTTACAAGCTCCCTGTTTACTATTTTACAATCTCCCATAGTTCTTTGCCTGTAACTTTGTTAGTCTTTTTCTCCTCCTGTGCGCCGACACCTAGGTGTTTTGCATGTACTCATATGCTTATCATATATATATCAGGAAACTTGCTTGTTGATGTTGGGTTTCATTAATAAGATTTATGTTTTAATTATTTTTGTATCTTCATTCATTCTCTCTCTCTGTTTTTTTTTTGTTACTTGCACTGTTAGTCGTGTTTGGAGAGAGGCGGATAAAGTAGCAGATTTGGGTAGTGAAAGAGGTTAGAATTCATGGTTGCCTCCTCCTTGCATGGTGATTATATAGTCAGTCTGCTTTCACTTGATCGTTCTGTCTTTGGCTCCAGTTCGGAAACCTCCTTTTCCGAGAATAGGGTACATTCTAGAACTACAGATCCCAACGACCATCCTCTTTGTGCCCTTTCTGATATTTAGATCACTAAATGATTGAGCCAGGGAGCTGTGGATGTTCTATTTCAAGCCTCCCCTCGAACAGCGTACATTATTTGGAAACGTTATTGATCATGTTTTAGCTAGGTGGCTTTTAATTATTTCAGCTAAAAATGTTAGACAGACGGCATCTAATTTTTCATTCTAATTGTCCACTGTTCTCACTTTCCCTAACTTAGACCAGCAACCCCCCCATAGGATTCAGGATCCCAAACCCTAACTATTTTTTTAATCTAAAATGCACTTAATTATTATTTAATATGACAGTCACACTGAGAATTTAAAAAAGTTAGAGAAATAATATAAAAAATGGGACATGATATTTTTAGTACGTACATGAAAAATAGTAATTTTACTATTTAATTTTTTAAATTTCTTTTTTAATATTCTTTCTCTGTTTTTAAACATTTCCTTAATTTATTTATTTTTATTTTTCTTGAAATCAAAGGCCTTCTAGATATAATAGGGAGCTTTGACAAATCTTCAAACTTTTGAATGATTTTTATAATTTTATAAATAATATCTCAAATTGTTTATTAGAATTTACCCTTAGTTTTCAGCCTTCAGGGGTTAGCTGCACGGGAGAAATCAATTGTCGTATTACTAGGCCGGCCATGATAAAATATGACCTCGATTTTTGTGGACCAAAACAGAATCATAAACGTACGGGCATACATTTAAAAAAAAACAGATTATATACGGGCTAGCAAGAACTAGCAAACATAGTATTATAAATTATTTTATTAAGAAAAACAGCAAAATGCAGCTTAATGACTTGGCCTTACTAATTAAATATAGAGAAGGTTTTTTATTCTAAAAAAGTGATTTTTTTTTACGGTAATTAAGTGTGATTTTTCAATTTGATTTTCTTTAAATTATTTTGCATAGCCCTAAATTCTATAAATATAAAATCATTTCTTTGTATAATAAATTCTACAGTTGATTGAAAATAAAAATAAAAATAAAAATTATAAATAAAATTTTTTAACAAAAAGATTGAAGGAGAGTTACTAATTCATTTATTTTTCATTAAACAAAATAAGATAACTTAAATTTAAAATTTATTTTTGTTTTGTTTTAAGATGTTTGTTAATAATTTGATGAGGTTCTTTTTTTATATATATAATTCTACCATTTTTGCTTCATTTTGTTTAAGATTTGTTAGTTTTACTAATTATTTTTTGAATTCTTGTTATGATGTTTTTTTTCTAATTAATTAGATATATTTTATTGATTTGTTTTGATTATACTTAATTTTTTTTTAATGTTTTGTTTTTAGCAGAGCAACTAAAATTATCAATTTTTTCTCACGATAAATGTTTTGATTTTAGGTTGAACCATAAACAAAATCAAAAGAATTTAATTTTTTTAAAAAAAATATCGATAACTCACAACTTAGTGAACCAATTTCAATATGTAATGTTAAAGTTATGGTTGAGCAACTTCAATGTGCTTCAGTTTATAAAAAACCCGCGTTGATTAGTGAGAATAATTTTTTATTATTTTTTACGTTATTTCAAAGTTTATGGAATATAAATAATGCTCACTTTAATTAATATTTCTTATATACTTTGTATGTTTATATTTGATAAATATAAAGACTAACAACATTAAAGTAATGAATATATTATAAAGATGAAATTAACTTTATTACTTTGTCTTAATTTAGTTTTACTTCGAACTTTTTATCTTATACAAAGGTTATTATATATTTATAATAAATTAAAATAAATATTATATTTTATTATATTAATTTTTACCCCTATTAGCAAATAATGCTAACTCCGCCACTGGTTTGACCGACAAAGAAACAGAACAGTTTAATGTGTGCTGTAGATGTTGATAATGAACCATCTTGTTGTGTTTGCTGCCTTAATTTGTTCGTCTTGTATCAAAGTTTAAACCAGGAGTTGTTTTTTATGATGATGTCTTGTAATGCCAATATGTGAGTGTTTTAGTGCTAGCTAGGTCTCTTTTAGTGCCAATACGTGCTTGCTATCATGAAATGGAGATGGGTAATGTTCATGGTTGTCATCACTTATCAAGCATGGCTGCTTTACTATTTTTATGGCTCATATAATTAATTTGATCATTTTTGTTTAATTATTAAACATTGTACTGTTAATGTGTTTACTAGCAAACTTACAATTCGTTTCTGTTGGATTTCAAGTTGAGTTACTATAGACTTTAATATAGTTAAATTCTGGGAGATCTAGAGGTTGATTTATAATCAAACCAAATCTTCTCAAAATAAATTAAAAAAATTAAAAAATATATATTATTATTTAAAAAAAATTTAAATTGACTAGATAACTCAAAATCACAAGTCGTTTACTTAGATCCAAATTGCGTTGACAAATATAGTTTTTTTTTGGTAAGTTTTCATGGAAAGTTTGCTCCAGTAGTAATTTCTGTTGTATATTGATTGATTTCATTCTTTTCAGCAATGATCAGCAAGACTAATCAAATATATATATATATATATATATATATATGCCGGATATGAGATACCGATTGTAAAGGATGGGCCAGTGGCCTGCAAATGAGCAACAAGCTTGTGTCTTCTCATGAGGTGCCAAATTCTGATGTGGCCTTCCTTCCTACTCGGTTCAAATCAAAGGAAAGGCCGATTCGGGCCATTATCATATAATCCAATAAAGCTTTCAGGTTTTTTATATTGCTTTCAGTCCAACCCATCATGAACTTAGGTCCGTCCCACTTGATTTGCTTAGTAGAGAATGCATATGCGCCATTGAATTTGAATCATGAAACTGCTTGAGCCGAAAGGCTCCTGCATGGTACTTGTTTAAGGGATTGAGGTATGAAAATGGGGTCCCTTTTGTTTGCTAGCTAGACACAAAGGTCTCAGATAATCACAGACACAAGGTTTGACAATGGGGTACAGACTACAGATGCACCGTTTTGAGCTTTTCCTTGTAGTCTTTTCATGCATTATTTCTCTGATACTTGGGGGGTCCCCTACAGCTGTTGCAGCTTGAAATATGTACCCATTTTTTCCCGGAATGATGCTTCCTCCCTCTCTTTTACACTAGCAAATGGCATGCCCTTCAAAAAGTGAAGAATGAGGATGCTACCATGAAGCAAATGTCAAGTCTATCTCTCTCTCTCTCTCTCTCTCTGCACAGAGCAGTTTCACTCCACTCCTGCATTGTCAATAAACCATGGAGAGTGGGATTTCTAACCTAACATTAAAAGAAAAAAAAAGGCAAAAAATTAAATGCCATGCAAATACTAATTTGTTTTTTTTCTAGATTCCAACTTAGCAATTTTTCTTATATTAAAAAAAAATAATTCTTTGTAATACATTCTCTTTAAATTGGAGCACAAATCATAATTTTGGAAGCTTACTCATTTGTCCTCGAATCTAAGTCTCAAGTATATGCAAGCTTACTTTGAAACTACTTTAATCCCAGTCATTTAAATCCTTAAGTATGGAGATAATGGGGGCAATTATCTATCATTTTGGATAAAATAAATAGGTAGAAAAAGGTTTGCGGTTGTGGCCTGCTTGCCTGTACCAATGGAGAAATACTTATTAAAGTCAAAAATCACAAATATTGCTGGGTCCTTACATGGTTCATTGCTAGATGCCAAGGCACGCTCCCCTATGAGCTTGTTCAGACTCTTCTTACCTCTCTCCCCAATCAAAGGAATAAAGTTTCCTCTGTTTAGAGACAAGAAGCTTTCGCTAACTTATCCCGGCTAGTCATATTTTCTCCTCACTTTACCACTCTTGATATATTCTCTTTTAGACCTAGTTGATATCCTCTTTCTCATCTTCTAAATCTTAGAACCAAGAAGCTAGTGGAGAGAGTTCTCTGTTTTCTTTCTTCCTTGACACCCAGCTTGATCAAGTGCTCCTTTTCTGAAAAAAATGGTTAAAATAGGAGGTATACTTGTTTGTATGTTGGTTGTTGCCATGGATGTAGCAGCTGGTATTCTTGGCATCCAAGCAGAAATCGCACAAAACAAGGCATGTTAACCCCTCCTTCCTTCCAATCTTTTTTTTCTTTTAAGAAAAGCATTATCTTTGATATATTAGTTATCTTGATCTTATACTTCAAAAATATGAATATATCTTGTCTTAGTCAATAATGTGTGCATGTGGGTGTGTGTTAGTACAGGTTAAGCACCTAAGACTTTGGATATTTGAGTGCAGAGAACCAAGCGAGGATGCCTTCAAGCTAGGGTTAGCTGCAGCGGGGATTCTAGTTCTGGCTCATGTTATTGCTAACTTCCTAGGGGGGTGCATGTGCATTTGTTCTCAAGAAGAGCTTCAAAGAGCTTCCCCTCATAGACAACTGTCTGTGGCATGCTTCCTTTTTTCGTGGTAAGTGAAGTTGTATAAACATTTTCTTGATTCCCAACTCAACTGAGTTAACAAGCAAATTATTTTTTTATTCTGTAGCTTGAACCGAACAGTTTCTCAGAGATTAACTATAATTAGAAGTATAGTGTATTACTTGTTGATTAATGATGTTTCTGCATATATACACCTAATTGTCTGGGCAGGATCATATTGGCTGCTGGGTTATCCATGCTAGCGATTGGCACTTTGTCGAACAACAAGTCAAGAACCTCTTGTGGTTTCACACACCATCATTTCTTTTCTTATGGAGGCATTTTGTGCTTTGTCCATGGACTGTTTTGTGTTGCGTATTACGTCTCTGCCACTGCTGCTTTTAGTGAAGAAAAGCATGGAGGTCGTGCTTAGGTCTTTTCTTTTTCATGGCACAAGGATTTTATTAATAATTTGTAAGCTGTAAAATTCTAACCTTGATGTGGCAAGCATTGTTCTTCAGAGCAATTGTGTCACGAGCTGAACTAATTATCTTGCTCATCCTTTTATTATAATTATTGAAAAAAGTTTTGCCACTTGAAAAATACGGTGTATTGTTCTTGTTCACATAAAAATAAGATTAATAAATAATTACTATGACATATAATTCATCATTTTATAGAATATATTGATCAAGAAAAGAAGGTGCAATATATCATTGCCTTTATCTTCATGATTTTTTTATTTTTTTAAAAAGGTGCTATATACCTAAGACTTGAAAGACTCTTTCTCCTTTAGAATCCATTTTTTCCAAAAACATTACTCTTTAAATAAATGTCCTTTTCCCTTTAAATTCCATGAACAAAAGATGAAGCTCAAAAAGGCAAGCAAATCCGAATCTATAAATCGAAATTTTGAGTACTATAGTGATACATTCTTAAAATATAATAAAATTAAAATATGTATGGATGTCGTTTATTAGTTTTAGAATTTAAACAAAGGCTGAGCTGATGTTATAAAATATGTGTGTGTGTGTATGGTGAAGGTACGTAAAGGTAACTGGGCCAGGATATTCAACCTCTTCATGTTTGTATCTGTATTTGGGCTGGTCTTTAGCCTTTCTGCTTCTCTTCTCAAAATGGATCTTGTATTTGGTAGGCCTTTTCAATGTCTTTCATTTTTTTAAAAGAAATTCAATAACCAAACAATCCCCATGCATCGAGACACGAAGACACAGAACTAGCATTAGCTTCTCGATACCTTTGTAAGGTTGTATGAGCAATCTGAACTTTCCCTACACTATCAATACATATCTCTGCTGGAAGTGAAGGGCATGGCGGGCATACCACAGGGACCAAGCATTCATAGGCGCCGTCGACTCAACCCTACTATCTTCATGATGCAAAATGGAACACCAGAGCCAATCTTTGATATCATGGACAGAATCTTTCGCAAGGAACTTTTCCATTCCAGCACCCTTCCATACCCTAGCAATCCCGCAATCCCCTGAATCTTGAAACGCTAATTCTACCTCAGCTCCACACTTCTCATCTTTGATCCGAAAAAACATTTTGTAACAATCCGGCATTTTAACATATGATTTTTTATCATAAAAATATGGAGAGGGCTCAATTTATTTCTTGAAATTTATTGTACTTTCAAGATCATACATTCAAAAAAGGTTTCATCAACAAAGACGATGCCATAGATTGTAACTAAGGTTCTTTGACTGGGATAGGTTCGACAATCAATGACGTTAAACGATCTCTAATGACCCCAGTAGAAGTACCAATGCCATCTCCAAATTGGAAGATGCATTGAGCAGTTCGAGCCATGTTCAAGGACATATTTACAAGAGGTTTTGGAAGAGAACATTTGGAATTCTCCTTGTTTAGTTCCTTCCACGCTTGGTTAATCAAAGCTTTGATGTGCACTTTTGATTCTTTTTCAGAAGCACCCTTTTCAATCATGTAGCACTGAATGGATTTTGTCACATCACCTCTCTCACTCTCAGCCTAAAAGCAGGACAAAAGGAAAAGGAGGGAGATGAAAATATTAGTGTTTGTGATCAAGAACAAAATATTTTAAAAAGCATCCTTTGATGCCATTTAATAATAATGAAGAATACTTTGGGTAAAAAACAAGGTTTATGTCAAGTTTTCAAACTTTTAGATGACTTAGTTGATTATTATGATTTTTCCTATTTAAAAAAAATAAAAGTGAATAAATAAAGTGGTTTTTCAAAAGCATAGCAGTGGCTGTTCTGATCTTACCTTCTCAAATTAAACAGAATATTTTTTGTTTTTTTGTTTAACCAAAAAAAAAAACTGAAAAATATACCACATACCGTGTATGTGCCCAAATCATCACTGAGTCGAGTAATTAAGGATGACCAATAGATTAATTGATCACTGCCATGCTTGAAGCAATCCATCAGTGAACTCTGTGCTATGGGGCTCCCCAGCAACATATAAGCATGGGCAAGGGCTGCAGGACTCCCAATCGATGTCCTTGCATTCTCCAAGTACTCAGTCAAAGTTGGTGAATACTTGTTGCTAAACCACCGAGCTTCAACCAAATATGATCCGCAGAGATTTGCCCACTGAAAGAATTATGCAGAAGTTGTGTAAGTTTGGTTAATAGAATTTAGGGCATTGCACATGAGAATACATGATCTTAGTTATATGGAAGCTAGCAGCAATTCACCTCTTCCACAAGGTAGGGTAAAACAAACAAGCCATGATCTCTCATTACATCGTATGCCATTTCATTAACAAAGTTAATCAAGGCCAAATAGCATATCTTCATGTAATCAGGAAGGTCGTCAATGGCCATGGAATCCCATCTAATTCATATAGAGAGAACAAAATAGAAAAATATTGTGATGAGCGGGGAAAAATATTTGACAAAAACAGAACTATGAGATGCTCATAGTGGGATTGCACAGCCATTTATATATGGCTAGACGTACCGATTTACTAGTTTGGTAAAGAGCTCAAGCTCCTCCGGTAATCCATACACATCATATATGTCATCAATTGCTGTTAAAATGCATACAAATTTGGTGAGGCCTATCCTGCATTTCGAGAACTGAGGCTCAAACACCATTCCCATTGCCCAAAAATAATTTTCCATCAATCGATCTCGCGAAAAACTCAGCTTCTTCTTGAAGCCTAGGGCACCCCACCACCTATTTATCAAGTTCCAAGATTTTTCATGGATGTCTTTTAAAGTGAAAATCAGAAAAACCAATCAAATTATATCAAATTTAATTAGTAATGATTATATCAAAAAATCATTTTAACTTAAAAATTTAAATTTTATATAAAGATCAAATATATGATTTATAATATATTCTAATACACATTCTTAATGAAATTTTTTTATTTTAAAATTTACATGTACCCGTATTACTTTATATTTTTAATTAATTTAAATAAAATAAAAAAGATAATAAAATTTAATATATCAAAAAATAATATCAATCCAAAAAAGTTTAAGCTTTCATATTAAAACTCCAAATGTAATTTATATTATAAATATGTCATGGTTATAAATATTGTACCTTACTAGTTCTTTGAGCTCCCTTTGGTGTTGTGATTGCACAAGGTTATAGTCCAACTTAGCTAACTCAAGCAAGTCTAAGTTCCTCGTATTATCACTTGAATAAACATCAATGAAATCCCGAGCCTCAATCCTTGGCATCTTCCAATGCAGAGGAACTTCTAATGATTGTTTCACTTGCTTAGCTAGAACTTCATCCTTTATTTTCTCTAACAATGACTGGAGATGTTTACTGCTGAAATTTTTGGCTTCTTCTAAAACATGATCTTCTCCAGGCACTCCAAGGTATGAAGCTTCATACAAACTCAAAAGTCCTGCAACGTCCGTCCTTATGCTGTCCTTGAATTTCCCATCTCTATTACTTCTGAATTTTCCAAACACATCTGTAAATTTTCACCATCCCACAGAAAAAAAATCCCTTAACTTCGGATCCAAAATACACAATTTACTTATCAATTCCTTAAGAAAAAGAGAACAGCACTAATGTTTTTCCATAAATAAGAAATAATTAATATAGAAATAAATTATTATAACAAATACAGTATTCTTACCATTGCTTCATATTATTTCCTTGTAAACGCTTGAGGCCTAGTTAGACAAATTTCAATAGCTAATAACGGTAGGAAAAAAAAAACGTTTAAACGAAAAGGGGAAAACAAAATACTTAATCAACCCTTTTATTTATTTATTTATTTGATATTTCTATTCAAGAAAAATTATCAGTGAGGCATGTACAGATGAACTTATAATTATCATCCAATTTACTATTAATTCTTCAGACATGACCTAGCATCTGCTTGGCACATATTCATTTTTGCTGACTAGCTGTCAAAAATTAATGGCGAATTGAGAAACCATATTTATTTATTTTCTCGATAAAAGTGCCAAACTTAACTTAAAAAAAGAGATGGAACAAGGAGAAATCACGACGGAGAAAACTGATTTATTAGCTAGATCAAATGAGAAAATCAAGATGGATAGAGGAAATGAAAACGCCCTATGGAAAAGGAGCCAATGATAGAGGGATTGGTAGGCAAAACAAAAGGGGTGCTTCGGCTACAAGGACTCATTATTGGATTCTACTTTTTTGGAATAGCAGTCTATGCAAGATAGCCAACTGGAACACTATGTGTCCGAGGAAGGTAAGGAAGAGGAAAGTGGGGAGGGAGATTGCCCGGTCATAAAACTAACAAGGGGGGGGGGGGGGGC